TCTTACAATCGTTATGTTTGAGTACACTGCTGCTGCCACTGTATCAATCCATCTCATTGGGGTCTTCTTCTTTTTTGCAAGCCCTCAACTTTACTAACCATGATGTGTTTCTCCAGGAATTGGTCCCTTTTGATAATGTGAAGTATAAAAGGTGAGGCCTGGTAATCCTAGCTTCTAAGGAACATTCTTCCTGTACTGCTTCCAACACAGATTTGTTTGTTCTTCTGGCAGTCCATGGTACTTTTAATATTCCTCTTCAATAGCTCAGAGTTCTAGGACTATCCTCTGCATCTACTTCATCCAGTTTACTGAATATTTGGTGCAAGGGTCCACACAACCTTTCTACCAGTCCATCATTATGATTGCCCTGTATCAGTAATATATTTTTTTATTGCTAACTTTAGGGATATACTTCTTAGCAGTCTTTCTTTCATACCACAGCCACTTGATTCATGGAAACTCCTAGTCACCATGGAAAGTTTATTTTGATTTCTACACCTCTTTTATTAAAAGGAAAGCAATTGAGTGCACATCTCCCAGGACATATAGTGGTAAACTGCTGAATTTTACACACCATAACATACACAGACATGAAAATATAAAAGAATATGAAGCAACATATATGATTTCAATTATATGACATTCTAGAAAAGGCAAAGCTTCAGAGCCAATAATAGAAATCAGTTAATTCCAAGGGCTGAATAGGGGTGGTGGGGTATGACTAGGTGGAGCAAAGTAAATTTATTAGGGAAGTTTAAGTATTCTGTATATTAATGTAATAGTGAATTGTTGTTGTTGTTGTTGTTAAGTGCCATCGAGTCGGTTCCGATCCATAGTGACCCTGTGTAGGGTTTCTGAGAAGCAGCTGGTGAGTTTGAACCGCTGACCTTGCAGTTCAAATGACTTTGCAGTCTGGTGCATTACCCACAAAGCCATAGCTGTTGTTAAATGCCATCCAGTCAGTTCCGACTCATAGCAATTCTGTAGAGCATTTCCGAGGAGTGGCTGGTGAGTTTGAACTGCCAATCTTGCAGTTCACTTCAACTCTATGGTCGAGTACTTATCTAAAGCACCACAACAAAATTTCAGTGCATAGATGATACTATGCATATTTTCAAAACCTATGGACTTAAAACAACAACAATAAACAAACCCACAGCTATTGACTCAATTTCAACTCCTAGTGACCTTTTAGGACAAAGCAGAACTGCTCCATAGGGTTTCTAAGGCTGTATATTTTACAGAAGCAGGCTACCAAACCATGTTCCCAGAATGTGGCTAGTGGGTTTGAACCACTGATATTTTTGGTTAGCAGCCTAGTGCTTTAGCCACTGTGCACCAGGGTATCTATGGACATTATTTAATAATAATTTATAAATATTAATTCAAAAATAGTAACAAATGTACCCCATGAAAGCAAGATATAATAGAGGAAATTATGGGCAGGGAGACAGACAGTATTTGGGAGTTCTCTGCATTTTCTGCTCTATTTTTTCAGTAAATCTAAAATTATTCTAAATTATAGTCTATTAGTTTAAAAATATAAAATACAAACAAAATTGACTCTCTAATATCTTTGCTTTGTATTCCAACAGGATGGATGCAATAAATTAAGTTATATATCCAAAATCCCACAATTTTAACTCCTGTAACTTCTCTAGGTTATATACTACTACAATAACCTGTTATCGTTCCACACTTCAATCATATTGGACTTTTTTGCAATTTCCCAAACAAAACTTATCCTTTTGATTATGTATGTTGTTGTTAAGTGTCATCGAGTTGGTTCCAACTAATAGGGTTTCCAAAGAGCAGCTGCTGGTTTGAACCACTGACCTTGTAATTAGCAGTCCAGTTATGATCCTACAGCACCACACCAGGACACAAACTCTCTCTCTCTCAATATATATATATTGGGTAAGTCAAAAATTATCCACACCACTCTGGCTATAGAATTTATTTTAACCAACTTTTAGAAAATACAAATACACCATTTTTCAAAATAATCTCCTTGCTTTTCAATACACGTTGTCCACCTGTCAACGAGCTTTCATATTCCTTTATTAAAAATGTTTTAGGCTGAGCTGTGAGCCACGAATGAGCCGCTGTCTTCACTTGTTCATCAGAGGTGAATCTTCATCCTCAAAGGGCTGCTTTCAGGAAACCAAGCAGGTGAAAGGCCAATGGAGCAAGATCAGGACTATAGGGAGGATACTTTAACACCACCTCAAAATGAAGTTTTTGCAGTGTCAACAGTGTGGACAGAGATGTGAGGACATGCATCATCAGGCAAGACCATACCACCCTTGGATAGTATGTTTAATCTGAAGTTTAGGCTTCAGCTCTTCCATGGGCATCTCACTGTAACAAGTACTGTTTATTGTTGAACTTTTTTCCTGATAGTGTTTCACTACTGGCCCTTGAGACTGCAAGAAAACTGTAAGCATCAATTGTCCTGCTGATGGTTGACTTTTGAACTTTTTCTTGGTCAACGATTGAGGATGCTTCCATTCATTACTCTGCTATTTACTACAGGCTCATAGTGGTTAGTTATGAATTCATATACCATCATCAATAACAGCTTTTTTGAGAAACATTTAACCTTCCTTCAAGGAGCTCCAGTAGTGTAGTGGTTACAAATCGGGCTGCTAATTTCACAGTCAGCAGTTCAAAACTACCAGCTGTTCCACAGAAGAAAGATGAGGCTTTCTGCTCCTGTAAAGATTTACAGCCTTGGAAACCCTGTACAGGGTCGCTATGAGTTGGAACCGACTCCACATAACATAACAACAACATTCCTTCAAGTGTCCATCTAAATGTTGTTTGCAGATGTCCAAACGCTTCTGTTTATGCTCTTCCATGAGTTGTCTCAGAACCCTATTGCACAAACTTTTTGAAACCAGAGTCTGTCTGGATTATTTCATAGGCAGACCAATGTCTGATTTGTAAACCATTTGCCACAGAATCCCCTGTCATTTGTTTATTCAACAGAAGCATTTCATGTGTATGTTCAATGTTGTCATTCTCCAAGAGTTTGAGCAGATAATTTTTGGCTCACCCACGTATATAATCAAAAAAATAAATTGTGCTTTGGTAATTGCATAAAAGTCCAGTATGACTGAAGTGCAAAGCTATTTCTGTCTCTACACATGTGTGGCACTGTTGGGTAAGCACTGGAGTGGGAACCACAAGGTTGGCAGTTCAAACCCATCGGCCACTTCTCAGATACCCTATACAGGGTTGCTGTGAGTTGAAACCTATTCAAGGGCACTGAACAATAGCAGTGCCACCAAGTCATTTCCAACTCTTGTTAGTTCTGACTCATAGCGATTGATTTAGACACTTCTCATGCCTACATTGGAGGTGTTTGGTCACCACTTTTGACTCCTGCATCACTGTTTTCCACTTATCTAATTAGGAGAATTGGTTACTATGCAACGTGCATGATACCCTTGTTTTCTAAAATGCAGATTATATTTCCAGCAGGATTTCAACTTTTTTTTACCACTTCATATAGCATATTTGTTCACCTACATTTTGAAATTTTGGGTCTGTTCAAGAGCACTTCATCAGCCATGACTGAACCAAGCTAAACTGGTTCAAAATCTTGTTTTATTTCCCCCATCTTTCTATCTCCAGTTCCTTAAACAAAGCCTGGAATAAATCATTTTTAAACATATGAAAGAGATGATTTAGCCAAGGCCATCCAGTGAGAAGGGATTAGTGTTCATAAATAGTGTGATTAATGATATAAAACTGCAAAGCTATTAAAGAACTAAGGAATTGTGGTCCGTAATGCTTGCCATAGGCATTTTTCTATTCCTATTATTATTTGCACAATCTTAAACTCAGACACCACTCAAATAAAAACAATCTTAGGCTCTGCTTACATAAAAAATAAAAAAGAAGAAGAAAAGGGGAGACTTGCTGATTATTCATTTAATTAAAAAAACAAACAATTATCTAAATCGGTGATTCAAACCACAAGAGCATATTTACTTGAATTACTTGGTTTGGCTGTTTACAATGATCAAATCAACTAGATTGCTCTCTACCTCTTTTCACCTTGGACTATGAGTCCTCCAAAGTATTTCTCACTCCCTCTGAGATGTGGTTAACAAGTGAACAGGAATCCATAGGGTGCTCTTTACATATTACAAGCCTTGGGCTGTTGAAAATGCTAAGTACCTGAACTATGGCTCTTTCAGGTAAGATTGCATTTGTACTAGGCTTATGCAAGTGTCCATCCATCATCTAACCCCATTCATTCATTTATTTAGTCAATGAACTGCCCACTAGGCACAGGCTCTCTGTCATGTACTAAAGATATGACCCTACCTTCCTACCTTCGTAAAGACATGATCCCTGCCTTCATGAAGATTGGAGTTCAGCAGAGTCACAGCACCACAATAATACAGTGTGACAGGTGCCAAAGTAGAGAGCAGGTGGGGAGCTGTAGGTGTCATGTGAGAGTACTGTCTGCCTCTATGACTTCTTTTTAGAGATCCCAGCAGCAGTTTCTACTGATGCAGTCTTATAACTGAAAGAAATAATTGATCACTAAGGTTTTGCCAAGGATCTCTGGTAATATATTGTGTATGCACTGAACTGCTAACCACAAGTTCAGCAGTTCAAATCCACCAGCTGTTCCATGGGAGAAAGTGAGGTTTTCAGCTCCTGTAAAGATTTACAGCCTTGGAAACCATGTACAGGGTCACTATGAGTTGGAATCAACTGGAAGGCATTCAGATACAACAGCAGCCACAGATTTTGTCATTATTTACCATTTCAACTTGAGTACTGGTGTGGTGCTATAGGTTAATGCTCTGGACTGCAATGTTGGTGTGAACTGCAAGGTCAGTGGTTCAAGCTCACCAGCTGCTCCTTGGAAACCCTATGCAGGGTCGTTATGGGTTGGAACTGACTGTTGTTAAGGCACTTAACAACAATAACAACACTGACCTTATTTAGCATGTGCTTTACCTAGTCTAACAACTTACCCTGACCTCGGGAACAGCCAGAACAGGTCCTGATGGCCACACAGTTGGTGAGATCAAAATTAGCAAAGGTTGTGTTTGAGATCATCAGCTCCCATCTTTTGGGAGTTTTAATTCCAGCAGACATACACAGGCTTCCCTGTGACTTAAAAGGGAAAAGAAGGAGAGAGAAAGAAGAAAAAAGAATAAAAAGCAAAATGAGACAAAAGGCACACAAAAACAATTTAAGGAATAAAATGATAAGTTAAAGATTAGGAGAAAATATTTGCAAATCACATATCCAACAAAGGGCTTGGATCTATAACATGGAAAAATTCTCAAAACTCAACAGTAACAGCTAACTAAATTTAAGCATTAGGGAAAAAAAACAACTTGAAAAGACACTTCATCCAAGAGAACATAGAGATGGCAAATAAGCACATGGAGAAAAATAAAACAAAAAAACATTTGTCATTATTAATCATTTCCCTTGCTGTCAAGTCGATTATGACTCAGTGACATTACTATAGGACAGGATAGAACTGTTTCAAAGGGTTTCCAAGGCTGCAATCTTATGGAAGAAGACTGCCACATCTGTCATCCACAGAGCAACTGGTGAGTTTAAATCTCCAAACTTTCAGTTAACAACCAGTGTTTAACCTTTGTTCTACCAGGGCTCCTCATTAGCCAATGAAAAAAAACAATCTTAATCCCGTGGAGTCAATTCCAGCTCATAGTGACCCTGTATAGAGTTTACAAGGCTTTAAATCTTTGCTGGCTCAGAAAGCCTCAAATTTCTCCCAATGAGTAGCTGGGAGGTTTGAAGTGCTAACATGTGGTTAGCAGTCCAATGCTTATCCCATAGTGTCATAGCTTATAATGCCATTAATCATTGTTGTTGTTATTGTTAAGTGTCTTCAAGTTGGTTCTGACTCATAGTGACCCTGAATAGGGTTTCTAATGATTGATTGGTGGGTTTGAACTGACAATTTTGTGGTGAGCAGTCCAGTGCTTATTTTATAGAATAGAACTGCCCCATAGTAGCTCCTAGGTTGAAAACCTCATAGGAACAGATTGCTGTAACTTTTCCTCCAGGGGATGGGGGTTTAATAGTGGATTAGCAGTGAAAGCGCTGCCAGCAACAATATAGAATACCAGATGAAGCAAGTTCAGGAGATGGTCCCAGAACTCAGAACTATATATAAAAGAATATTTAGAAAGTTTGAAGGCTTATAGCCAGTGGAATTCGTAGCAGAGGCAAGAAATTTTGTTTTCTGATCTACAGCACCTAGCCATCTCCCGGAGCAGCCATCTTGGGCATGACGGAGCAGGAGAAGGGTCAGAGAACCACTCTCACAGCAAACTTCTGATAATTATCGGAGATAATGGTATGGACATTCTTTTTTATCCTTTCTCTGTTCTTTGGCCTCTCGCTGTCTGTGCACCTTCACTCTGGTGACTAGAGGAGGTGCCTGAGCAAGTGGACCCCCACCACTACTTCTGGAGAGTTCTATGCATGCACACAGTTCTGTCCAGCAGAGATTTCTGGATCCAGAATTGCAAAAGTGGGAGGAGTCACCAGGAACTGCTCAAAACAGAATGGTCTCCCAGAATAGCCCAAGCAGGCCAAGTAAGGGGCATTAAAGTCATACTCATATTTTGCTACAGGTTTTTTTTTGTTGTTTTTTTTCTCTTCTTTTATGCGATTAAAGACTGTAATACAAAATCTGTTTCTTATTTTGTTTTTTTTGCGTTGTTATTTTGGTTTTTGACCCCCATTTTACCTTCAAGGGGCTCCTTATCTCTCTACATTACCCCAAAAGAGACAACAACTGTGGTCATATAGCCAAGCTGCAATCACACCCTATAAACTCCCACCATCCAAGCAAGAGCCAATACAAGCTGCTGTACACCAGGTAGACAGCCAACACCTGCTACAGTTACTCTGAGTTGAGTAATAATAAAAGTGAAAAGGGAACCCCATCTCCTTATAGAAACCTCAATAAAAGGCTAATAGAAACCTCAATAAAACATTAACATACATTCATTTGATTACTGAAAACCTAATTTTTGAAGATTCCCAAGAAACAATAGAGCATTGCAGCACATGTCCACAAATGGGATAGAGTAACTGACACAAATGAGCTAGATGTAGACCCAGACCTCCCACTGGAAAGAGGACAGGCCTTGAACTGCCTGAGAAGGAATTCAGGAAAATGATATTGAAGTGCATTCAAAATCTTCGAAAAGTGTTTGTGAAAAATAAGGAAAAAGTCAGGAAAGTGCTTCAGGAACAATCAAATAAGTCACATACAGTATTGGAAACAATCCAAAACCTGCAAAAAGAAGACCAAATTATTAGTAGTAAAATATCAGAAATGGACAACACATTGAAGGGCAAAGAAGTAGAACTGATGAGATGGAAACCAGAACCAGTGAGTTGGAAGACAAATTTCTCAATACTGCTAAGAAAGAAAAAAGGATAAAAATATCTGAAGGTATTTTTCATGTTGGACAACATGAAGAGGAATAGCTTAAGAATTATTGTCATTCTGGAACAGGAAGAATCACACAAGTTCACAGAGGAGATAGTTGAAGAGCTTCTGGAAGAAAATTTCCTAACATCCTGAAAAATGAAAAGATAAGCTTTCAAGAAGCTCAATGAACCCCAGGAAGGATAGACCCCAAAAGAAAATTACCAAGACAGATCATAACCAAGTTCTCCAAAATCAAAGACAAGGAGAGAATCCTGAAAGCAGCTAGGGAAAAGAGATGTGTTACTTATAAGGCAAGCAATTCAGATTAAGCTCAGATCTCTCCAAAGAAACCATGCAGGAAAGAAGGCAATGGGGGGACATATGTAAAACCCTTAAAGAAAAAACTGCCAACCAATAATCTAGCCAGCAATGCTGTCAATCAAACATGACGGAGTAATAAAAACAATCCTGGATAAACAGAAGCTAAAGGATTTTTCCAAAACCTACCCAGCACTTCAAAACATCCTAAAGGGAGTTCTTTGGACTGAGCGTCAACAAGAACAGACAACAACCAGAGAATGACATATGTGTCAGCACCACCTGGAACTCAATTGTCAGATAAAAGAGTCCAGATCAGAACAAAACTAAAAGAACAAATTCAGAGGACCTGGAAGGTCAGTTTATGATCAAAACAATTACAATGCAAAAGAAGATAAAAACATAGGAACAGAGATCCAGGTGCTGAGAAGAACAGGTAGATCGCTGGATAAGATAGACTGTTTAAAATGGAGGGAAAAGTTAGTAGAATAAAAGGTAACTGCAAAGGAAATTAATACTTCACAACATACCAAGAAAATGAAAATCCAAGAAGAACATGGAAACATTAAAACTATGAATAAACTGACAAGAAAAAATATATTAAAAAAAAAACAAAAAACCCATGAACTTAGCACAGGAAGGCATGCAGAACAAAGAAGCCAGCAGCACCACACACACACACACACAAACACCATAATGGCAGCAATTAATTTATTCCTATTGATAATTACTCTGAATGTCAATGGATTAAATCCACCAGTTAAGAGATGGAGAGTGGTGGAATGGATAAGAAAACAAGATCCTTCAATGTTCTGTCTGCAAGAAACACATCTTACACACAGACAAAAATAGACTAAAAATTAATGGATATAAAAAATATATACCAAGCTAATTGCAATTAAAAGCAAGCAGGAGTGGCAATATTAATGTCTGATAAAATAAACTGTAAGGCAAAACCCAGCATAATAGATAAAGAGGGACATGATCTCATGATTAAAGTGTCAATTGAACATAGCCATAATAAATACACTCCCAATGAAAGAGCTCCAAAATATATAATGCAAACTCTAATAGATTTGAAGAAATAAATAGACAAATCTACAATAATAGTGGGAGATTTTAATACACCACTTTCAAGAAAAGATCGATCAGAAAGAAACTCAACATAACATTTCCTCCATGGAGAAGATGGTGGGCCCAAACCACCAACTGTTCTGTAGCAACTGAGTGAGTACTTAACCATAGCACTACCAGGGGTCTTTATTAAATGAAATACTATGTAACAGTTAGAAGCCAGAAGGGATGGTGAGATTTTGGCTTGCTTATTTTGGACACATCATCAGGAAAGTCAAATTACTAGGAAAGGACTACATGCTTGGTAAAGTAGAGAGTCTGTGAAAACAAGTAAAATACTACTAATGTGATGCACTGACTCAGTAACCTCCACCAGGGGCTCAAACATATCAAACATTATGCAGATGGCATAGGACCAGGCAATGTGTCTGTCCTTCACTTGTAACAGAAGGATGCCATGAGTCAGAGCTGACTTGATGGCAACTCATAACAACAGTCAAAAGAGCAAATTACTGCAGCACATAAAAACATGGATTAATCTCACAAACATTATAGTGTGCAGAAAGAATCAGGCACAAAATAGTTTAATGCTTTATAATTCCATTTATATAAACTACCATAAAAGCAAACTTAATCTATATCAATAGAACTCGGAATTGTGGGGAGCATTGACTAGGAAGAGGCATAAAGAGACTCAAGAGGGCATGGATATATTCTATTTCTGGATTTGGGAAGTTCATTGAGCTGTTCTGTAGTGATATGTATACTTTTCTCCAAAAATACTTCTATAAAACATTTATTTTAAAAAGTGAACCAAATAAAAGAGAATAGTAGCATAGAAGATAACATGATGGTAAAGAAAGAAGTTAAACATTTAAGGTCCTTGAATTTTACAAGTGAAGTTTAACGGTTCTGTTGTAATTTAGACTTACATGCATGTTAAAAAGATCAGACCAATAACTAAAATAATTATAACAGAATGAATAACTTTCAAATGAGGAGTGGAAAAATAAATAGTTTCATGCAAGACATTTTAAATTAGGAAAGTAGAAGGGAGAAAAAAAAAAAACACAGAGAAAATGGATTGCAACTGGAAGCACAAAATAAGATGCTAGAAATAAATGCAAATATATGGCAGACATCAACAAGGATGGTAATTGAAACCACTAGAGAAAATGAGATTTCTCCCAGGGAGAGCAAGTATATTGGGAAGATAAGGGACCCTACAACAGAATTTAAAGAAACAAGAAAATGAAAGGTTTAAATTGAGGAAGACTAATCCACAAGTGAA